GAAGAAAATGTGATTGATGGACTACAACTTTCAATGTATGCCTTCTTTGTTGAATTTATTGTTAATATGATTAAACAGTTATTTGAAAGTGTTATTTATTTATTAAATTTGTATTATTTATTAAATTTGTAATTTGTAATTACAGGAACTATTTTATCATCTTGTCACCATACAACCCATTCTTTGCACAGATTCACAGAATGTACCAATTATGCCTTTTACTGAACCAGGAGTTCCTTTTCACAGTCACTCACACCTTGTTCACCTCAAGCATGGATTACAATGCACTCTACATAGGCTGCCCTTCGAGATCATTTGGAAGGTACAGGTAGTCCAGAATACAGTGGCACGATCATTTACAAGCACACCTTGATATATCCATGTAGCACTTCTGTCATGTGAGCTGTATTAGCCATCACTGAGCTTCCACCTGCAATTCAAGGTGTTGGTTACCACTTATAAAGCCTTTCATGGTATAGAGACTGTCTCTCTCCCATTATATCTGCCTATGCTGTAAGATGTCTCATGGTGGGCATGCTTCATGTTCCATCCATTATACAATGTCATCTGATGGAAGCTATGAAGCATGCCTCTTCTGTTCTTGTACCTGGCCTTTGGAATAACATACCCCAGAGGTTCAGACTAACCCAAACTTGCAAGCCTTTAGGCAATCTTTAAAAACTTGGCTGTTTCCCCACCTCTGGGTCAAGTTGGTGGCATGCCAATTTGACAGAAGGGTTCTGTTTTGCCTGTGTCATTTGATTTCCTTTTTCCATTAATTTTGTTTTTTGATTTTTTTAGATTTTGTAATATTTTTATTTTAATACTTATAATAGTTTAAGTCAGTTTTGAGTTTAAGTAGTCTTATAAATTGAAGCTATTTTTAATAAATAAATAAATAAATAAATAAATTTCTCTCTATCATCTAAAAAAAATGATGCCAACTCTAAGGAAGCTCACTGGATGAGTTTAAAGTCCCTCATTATCTCAACATAGTTATTCTGTTATAAGGGAAAGATGGAGGAGGGACTGTTATGTGCCACCTTGAACCCTTGGAGAAAAGACAGGATATAAATCTAATGAAAAAGTAAACCTAAGAAACATAATTAGTCTTGCATCAAGTTTCCTTACTACTTTAAAGAAAGGAGTTGAACGTTAATATGTAGCATTTAACATCTGAGTATAAAATCCAGTTGATCATTCAATAAACCTAAGCATTTTTCTAAACCAGTTAGGAGCCAGCCAGTAATACTGGTGCAACTGACATTTAAAAATTAAAATATATATATTGTATAGAAGCCCTACAAATTTTGGACAATTCCTTTGATAAAGACTTTATGTTAACCAGCTAAACTATGCCACTAGCTAAGTTGCTTTGAGATGGGGTTAAAACAGCTGTTCTGTCTCAAAATAAATGTGCTTATATAGTAAAAAAAAAGTTTTAGCTGCTAAATGTTGGTATTCTATACAATAAATTATCTCCTACTGCAATTTGAGTTACTCCCCCTTTTTGGTTTTCAGTATTATGACGCACAGAGTAAGTTTGTGCTGCAAAGTCTTTTCTTCTGTGAATGTCATTATCTCAGGCATACACTAGTCTACTCATGAAATCCACTCGACATTTCCCTTTTTCTTTTCTCCAGCCTTTCTGCCTTTATGATTCATATGATGCTAGCTTATACTGTTCTCTCCATTTTGACTGTCTGTAGATCTCTGTTAAGATCTTCTCCAATCTTGCTCTTGGGATTTAGAGGTGTTTTTTGAAAAATGGGCCTTCAAATGAAATCAACTTGGAATATTGTACTTGTAAGCTATGTGCTCTTGCCCAGCATGTATCAAATTGGACTTTCAGAAAAAATACTTACATTCTCATGGAGAAAATCCATCTATGTGGTTGCTAAGAGTCAACACTGACTTGATGGTACATAATCAACAACTTGTGTTACTGCATTGTTTAAAGATAACAGCTCTATGTGAAATAGAGTATTTAACAAAATATTTAATTTGATAATAAACTATGTTAATTCCAAGGTGGAAAATGAGATTCATTTATTTATTTATTCAATTTACATAGCTGCCCATCTCAGACCAATGACACCAATGAGATGTACTTGAACTTAAATGTTTCGAAGTTACATGCCCCCATAAATTTGGAAGCTGATCCATTTAACTTTAATACGAAGCAACAGGATATTGGGCAAGCATATTTCTTGTTTTATTAAAAATGTGAACATATTCCAGTCATCAAAATTATAAACTTGTATAATAAAGAATCACAGCAGTGTCCACAGCAAAGTGTGGATTCCAAAATGATGCCACGTGCACTATATCATCACACAAATCCCGTCACCTATTTCCATCCTTACATCTGATGCAAGTATGTAAGTCACAGCATTCATATGATGACATCGTAACTTGTGTCTCATCATTTTCTCCCTTCCACCCCCACAGGTACCCAGAATCAGGAGCATCTTCTTCCACATTCAGAATGGATTACTTTGCACATAAAAGAAACTAAAAATGAGAGAGAATGTATCCTATTACCAATCCAAAACCATCCTGATAGTTTGACAAGGAACAGTATTTCGTCAGGAACCTAGATTTGTTCTTAATTCCACAAATGGGAACTACAGTACAGTAGCAGGTCCACTCATACTTCCTCCAAATGTATTTTCCTTGGATTGCAGACATGGAGGTTTCTCTTTTTTTAAAAGATACTCCAGTTTAACAGGGGCCGTGATATGCTTTGATCAAAAGCCTTTTAAAAAGTTATTTTTTACAACTCTTTCGTCGGATACATATCACACACGCATTCTTTCGAGGAGCTCCTACCTTTGGTTAAAGTAATTCCCAGGAGAGCTCCTCGCCGCCCGCCGTCTCTCCCCCGCATCAGTTCGACTGAGTTAACAATGTGGCTTCTCTCTCCTGACGTGTCCCCAAGCTCGGCACGCTTTTTGCCAGCCGCCAACACTCCCTAAGGAAAGAGATTCTTCTCACCCATCTGCAGCCGCCGCTTCCCGACAGGGCGAGCCCCAGGCGGCTTCTCTCGTCCGGCCCCAGGAAAAGGAGAGCAAGAAAGAGCTCCGGCTACTCCCGTTAACTGACCGGCCTGCAGGCGGCCGCTGCCCGGGGAAGGCTCGCGCGCTCGCGGCACAGGGTGGGGTCCCGCTCTGGCTGCTACCGCGCCGGGATCGGAATTCGTCCCTCCGCCTCCGCCTCCGCCTCCGCCTCTCCCGTCTCCCCGGGGAAACCCCTCCCGT